ACTTCTCAGAAAAAATATAAAACTGCATGAAGCTTCAATACTTTTTCCTGTCCAACATATCTATATGGCACAAGAATATATGGATTTGCTGCACTGACAGAGCTGTAAGAGTTATATCATGTCTATTTCACCAAAGCTATACAAAATGCACTTCTGCATTAATAGAGAAAGTTTTTAAATCATACATATACCATGGGAGTTTACTCTTATTTCACAAAAAAGGGGGGCCATGGGTTAATTCCATGCATGACTGGGACTGCCTTGATCATATCAATCCAAACTATATTTTGAACGACAAAAATCATTGAATTCAGGCCAGAAATTGGACAGGTTTAACATTAAGCAGCTTTAACATCCTGACATATGTAAGGCTGGATGATGAACTTTGCCAGAATGTAATAAGTGAGGGGTTGGATTATGCCTAGCAGTCTGAAACACTGACCACAGTACCCTGCCGCCTGTTAGTCGATCAAGGCAAATGACCCTTTCAACAGATGAAATCACTTTTAGACCACAGCATGATAAGAACTTACATTTGAATCTATTGATTCATCAAGCTAAGACTTTGAAATACTTCCAGAAATTCAAAACTATTGACTGTGTATTGTTTTGAGGCTGTTACACTTGCCAATTTCATGTATAAGCCAGTTTAGAGGGAACAAAGTGAAAAAATCCACATAACTTTGGAAATTTATTGGTTACCCTGCCCTAAACTGAATATTTTTAATTACAATTAACAGTATTTGACAATATCAGCTAAAAACAGAGCTTCTCTGCAGTAATTTATGGGTTACTGGGTTAGAGAAAGACACAATGTATTTGGGTAAACAGGGGAGATAATTTTAAGATATCGAACACTCTCATGTCAATAAAATGTGAATTCAGACCCATAATATTACATTCCACAAGGGTCAGTTGTTATTATTTACATCTAAGCAGCTTCTGGGATTGATGTACAGCCCTTATTTCATGTCTGGGAAGCTGAAATACTACACACTGAGGCATTAAGGGGACACTGTCAGAAATTTCTAATGTATGAGGATGACCGAGTGATGGAATTTGGTAGTGAGACATTTTGGTGCCTTAACTGGACTGGGACACTTAAATGTACTATATGTACCTACATGTCCAAGTACTGCAACTTCTACAAGGCGGTGAAGCATATCGAAGCAAAGGGAGTATGCTTGATTAGACACTACCAACAACAGACTTCGGCCGGCATGTCGAAATACCACATTGGATGTGAAGGCTTCTTTTTCTGCTGTATTTGTGAAGATACACCTCCCCATTCACCAACAGGCATTCTACAAGCTGAAAATAGTGTTGAGATTACATTAAATGTCAAATCATAAAATCTATAACAGCAATGAGACAGTTGTTAATAAAACAGAAATTCATTTTGAAAGTCCTATGGGTGAAAAAAGGGGTATATTTTTAAAAAGGAAAAGAAAATTAGGTCGTTGCATATTCAAAGGGGACAGGCAGAAAGAATTGATCATATGCTACACTGTTTGCATTTAAAACAAGGGTTTGTGACATGTTCTGCTGTCAGCAGTGAACAAATTTCATGATATTCTTATCATTTGACTTCAAATTGACCCTCAGGAGATGAACTTAGACACTCACATTGTTGTGGCAGTGGTGATTTTAACCTAATTTGTTGTCAAATTCATCAGTTCCAACAAATTTAGAAGCCAGGGAACCACTACTTGATGGTAAGACTCACCGTGAGGGTCTTTTCCCACTGTTCGACCACAAAACGAAGCAACGTTCATATTCTGGACACTAAAACAATCTATTCCACTCAAAACAGCCCTATCTTTACTCCCAGTACCTTTAAATTTGCCTCTACATTAATGCTAACATGTTTCCATGGTGAAATAAACACAGGAAATCATGTAAAGTATGAATTACTGAAAAGTGCTCGAACCCTGTAGGAAAATTTAGAAACATTTGCCCTAGGCAAATCTGTGACTTATGTACTGTATATACATGCAACTTCTCAGAAAAAATATAAAACTGCATGAAGCTTCAATACTTTTTCCTGTCCAACATATCTATATGGCACAAGAATATATGGATTTGCTGCACTGACGGAGCTGTAAGAGTTATATCATGTCTATTTCACCAAAGCTATACAAAATGCACTTCTGCATTAATAGAGAAAGTTTTAAATCATACATATACCATGGGAGTTTACTCTTATTTCACAAAAAGGGGGCCATGGGTTAATTCCATGCATGACTGGGACTGCCTTGATCATATCAATCCAAACTATATTTTGAACGACAAAAATCATTGAATTCAGGCCAGAAATTGGACAGGTTTAACATTAAGCAGCTTTAACATCCTGACATATGTAAGGCTGGATGATGAACTTTGCCAGAATGTAATAAGTGAGGGGTTGGATTATGCCTAGCAGTCTGAAACACTGACCACAGTACCCTGCCGCCTGTTAGTCGATCAAGGCAAATGACCCTTTCAACAGATGAAATCACTTTTAGACCACAGCATGATAAGAACTTACATTTGAATCTATTGATTCATCAAGCTAAGACTTTGAAATACTTCCAGAAATTCAAAACTATTGACTGTGTATTGTTTTGAGGCTGTTACACTTGCCAATTTCATGTATAAGCCAGTTTAGAGGGAACAAAGTGAAAAAATCCACATAACTTTGGAAATTTATTGGTTACCCTGCCCTAAACTGAATATTTTTAATTACAATTAACAGTATTTGACAATATCAGCTAAAAACAGAGCTTCTCTGCAGTAATTTATGGGTTACTGGGTTAGAGAAAGACACAATGTATTTGGGTAAACAGGGGAGATAATTTTAAGATATCGAACACTCTCATGTCAATAAAATGTGAATTCAGACCCATAATATTACATTCCACAAGGGTCAGTTGTTATTATTTACATCTAAGCAGCTTCTGGGATTGATGTACAGCCCTTATTTCATGTCTGGGAAGCTGAAATACTACACACTGAGGCATTAAGGGGACACTGTCAGAAATTTCTAATGTATGAGGATGACCGAGTGATGGAATTTGGTAGTGAGACATTTTGGTGCCTTAACTGGACTGGGACACTTAAATGTACTATATGTACCTACATGTCCAAGTACTGCAACTTCTACAAGGCGGTGAAGCATATCGAAGCAAAGGGAGTATGCTTGATTAGACACTGTCAACAACAGACTTCGGGCCGGCATGTCGAAATACCACATTGGATGTGAAGGCTTCTTTTTCTGCTGTATTTGTGAAGATACACCTCCCCATTCACCAACAGGCATTCTACAAGCTGAAAATAGTGTTGAGATTACATTAAATGTCAAATCATAAAATCTATAACAGCAATGAGACAGTTGTTAATAAAACAGAAATTCATTTTGAAAGTCCTATGGGTGAAAAAGGGGTATATTTTTTTAAAAAGGAAAAGAAAAAATTAGGTCGTTGCATATTCAAAGGGGACAGGCAGAAAGAATTGATCATATGCTACACTGTTTGCATTTAAAACAAGGGTTTGTGACATGTTCTGCTGTCAGCAGTGAACAAATTTCATGATATTCTTATCATTTGACTTCAAATTGACCCTCAGGAGATGAACTTAGACACTCACATTGTTGTGGCAGTGGTGATTTTAACCTAATTTGTTGTCAAATTCATCAGTTCCAACAAATTTAGAAGCCAGGGAACCACTACTTGATGGTAAGACTCACCGTGAGGGTCTTTTCCCACTGTTCGACCACAAAACGAAGCAACGTTCATATTCTGGACACTAAAACAATCTATTCCACTCAAAACAGCCCTATCTTTACTCCCAGTACCTTTAAATTTGCCTCTACATTAATGCTAACATGTTTCCATGGTGAAATAAACACAGGAAATCATGTAAAGTAGTATGAATTACTGAAAAGTGCTCGAACCCTCTCGCTCAGTGAGCACCTTTACTGTATGTGACACATTAATAAAGAACCTTTACAGTATGTAACACATTAATATAGGACCTTTACAGTATGTGACACATTAATATATCACCTTTGCATTATGTGACACATTGATATATCACCTTTGCATTATGTGACACATTGATATATCACCTTTGCATTATGTGACACATTGATATATCACCTTTGCATTATGTGACACATTAATATATCACCTTTGCATTATGTGACACATTAATATATCACCTTTGCATTATGTGACACATTAATATATCACCTTTGCATTATGTGACACATTAACATATCACCTTTGCATTATGTGACACATTAATACATCACCTTTACAGTATGTGACACATTAATACAGCACCTTTACATTATGTGACACTTTAATGTATCACCTTTTTAGTATGTGACAGATTGGTATATCACCTTTACAGTATATGACACGCTGATATAGAACATTCACAGTATGTGGCACATAAATATAGCACATTTACAGCATGTGACACATTGATATAGCACATTTACAGCATGTGACACATTGATATAGCACCTTTGCATTATGTGACACATTAATATAGGACCTTTACAGCATGTGACACATTAATACATCACCTTTACAGTATGTGACACATTAACATAGCACCTTTACATTATGTGACACATTAACATAGCACCTTTACATTATGTGGCACATTAATATAGCAATACAGAGACATATTAAAGGGGTATAGGATGTCTTCATCATTTGCATTATGTTGACATGAGAACTGAAAGTTGGGAACAGGACAAATCCAGATAATGCTAAGTAATATTATGAAGTTCGAATGAACATCAGTGACAACACCAAAGGTGCAATGTCCCGAAGGAACCACTCAACCAATAAACCAAGCTGGACAACCTGGCCCACTATGCCACTTTGTAAGACCAGGACGTAGTTCCAGGAACAAAAACACTATCCCAATTGAGGAATTATTTGAAGAGACACCTCAAAACGTATATATATTATGATAACAATTCTTTTCTTCCCGTGTGATTAAATCAGCCATGCCGCATCTGCCCGCAACCGATGCCAATAGTGATGATTACCATCCAATGGAGGGACCCAGGATGCCACCCGCACCAGATCCTGACCCTCTACCACCCACTGTGCAGATTGGGGACTTCCGAACTTTACAATGCAGTTTGTGTGAGGAAGCACTGAGTCGTCATGACAACAGTCTCCATGGTGATCAATGTTGTGGCGTCATATTGGAGGTAGGGGTAGGCCGAGGCAAAAACCTCACAACTAATTGGCACTGTTGTACCCAAATATTGACAGGATGTGTTCTTGATGCCACCATGGAAGCATAGTGACAAAGCGATTCATCAGTTATTTATGTTCCAAATGTAATGAATTTGTTTCATGATATTTTTTGAAATGTTAAATGTGGCGTAAAACAAAACTCACTCACTCTAGATGTAATGAATTTATTGTTAAAGATCTTGAAAAAGTATTTGTCTTTTTTGAAGAATCTTTTTTCAACAACATTCCATGAAGTCTGTAAACGTTCGAGACCAGAATGATATTGAAGGGCCATATCATTATTTCTTCCACTGAACTACAGAGCCACCGGCTCGATTTTTATTGTATGGAAACATTTTTTATGTTCTAATTCGTTTACCAAGTGCATAGGAGGTCCAGTGACTTAGTACATGGGAGGTCCTGTGACCTAGAACATGGGAGATACAGTGACCTAGTACATGGGAGGTCCAGTGATCTAGTACATGGGAGGTACAGTGGCCTAGCACATGGGAGGTACAGTGACCTAGTACATGGGAGGTCCAGTGATCTAGTGCATGGGAGGTCCAGTGACTTAGTATATGGGAGGTCCTGTGACCTAGAACATGGGAGGTCCTGTGACCTTGAACATGGGAGGTACAGTGATCTAGTACATGGGAGGTCCAGTGACTTAGTACATGGGAGGTCCAGTGACTTAGTACATGGGAGGTCATGTGACCTAGAACATGGGAGGTACAGTGACCTAGTGCACGGGAGGTACAGTGGTCTAGTACATGGGAGGACCAATGACCTAGTACATGCGAGCTACAGTGACCTAGTGCATGGGAGGTCAAGTGACCTAGTACATGGGAGGCCAAATGATCTAGTGCATGGGAGGTCAAGTGATCTAGTACATGGGACGGCCAGTGACCTAGTACATGGGAGGTCCAATGACCTAGTACATGGGAGGTCCAATGACCTGGTCAATGGTAAGTCCAGTGACCTAGTGCATGAGAGGCCTAGTGACGTAGTGCATGGAAGGCCCAGTGACCTAGGCGTGACAAACAAACGCTTTCACCACTAGGCAACCCTATTGCCGGCTTGAAATTGAAAATTTATAAATAATTTGTTCTTAAGGATGGAATGATTTATTTATGCATCTTTGCTGAAATGTTGATCACCTGCAGTTTGGTGAAAAATCGGTGATGAACAATTTGATAAACTTTCATAACCATACAAAGTATCAAAGAGTATATGTTGTTTCGTCACTGATCTCTCTTGTGGGATAAATTTGATTTTTTAATGATACCATATCTTCACGATACCTCTCTCTCTCTCTCTCTCTCTCTCTATATATATATATATATATATAACTGCGGATGTCCATTCTCACCTCATCACGAATATCTATCTATCTATCTATCTATCTATATATTCACCATATATAACACATTTGTAGAGCGTCTTAGATCCACAAGATGTTCAGTGGCGCAAAGAACAAATTATCCACGAAGCGCCTACATTTTACCCTAGTTAACTGAAGCTGACTGTTAGGTTAACTGTCATATGACCATCACATCCCACCTGGTACCCATCTTCTGCTGGGTGAACAGAGGCAACTTTGAACAAACTCGCTTGCCAAATGAGTCACGTGTGCTTCGTTGTGGGACTTCTAGGAAGTCCTAGAAACTCTCAGGAGTCAAGCTGCCAAACATGGCCACCCATCCAAGGAATTTCTGTGACCAACTATACTTCAACTTATTTGTGACCTGAGCTCTAGGCACAAGACCACCCACCTCTACAATATTTGTCATCTAACTAAATGTGGGACTGATTATTATAATGATACATAAATTAATTATTTCAGTGTAAATAACAAAAACTGAAACCGGATAAGAATCTCAGGATCTGTTTTATTTTTGTTATTATTAACAGACTCAAGACGTCATTCCGCAAGAAGTTAGAAACTTTGACTTCCCATATTCTAGTACAGAAAGGCTAGGTCGTCGACAGGGGGTGACGAGAAGAACATTTGGCAGCAGCATCAACAACAAAGTCATCATTTCCAAACAGGTAAGATGGCTACACAGTTTAGAAAGGGGTCAGATGTGATATTTGAGATTACCCTTTCTCAGTAACGTACAGATTTTAGTGCATTTAGTACCCACATTTTCATGAAATTTTATAATTAATTCGTTAACAATATTGATAGAAATAATTTCTCTGTTTAAATTCTTATGAATGAAGTAAAGGTGCTCATGTAACACTCTACATCACCGTACCTGTCTAAGTAATCTGCCTTTTCATAATAACAATAGTCAATACCTAACAAATGTTTACCATTTGTAGCAAGTTATCTCCAACTAACCTTATCTAGCAGCTACAAATTAAATATGTTAGGCGAGGTAAGGTGTTCACTGGGTTTTCTTGGCCATCAATCACTTGATTGTTTGGTTTAGCAGCTGATGCTACATAGCAGGAGTACTGCTGTGTGAGACATCAGGCAAAAAGGATGTACTTTTCTCATGCAGATTATGGTGGATAGTGATATGGTCAAGGAAGGACATGATGACCCTGTTTGAACATCTGATTTCTTAGATTTTGACATAAATTTCGAAACGAAGTTTGAGAATTTTAAACAGCTGAATTTCCAACTCAGACATGTTTCTAAATAACCAAAAACCAAAAGAACTGGACTTTACCTTTAATATAGATTTCAGTTATTTTAAGAAATAGTTTTCCCAAATTTGAGCCAAAACTGTGACTCTAAGTAAAAACTCAGACTTATGTTTTTTTTCAAGAAATCAGGGCCAAGTTTAAGCATTTTCATTGGTCCATTCATATAATCTTTACCACTATTCTGCCTTTTTGACAAATATATCTGCTGTATATTTAGGACTAATTCTTCTCTGGTGCCCGATGTTTTATACTGAACATCTTTTTTTCCAGTATAACCGGAGTGACTTCCAGAGAACTGAGGTAGAACTAGCAATTACAAGTGGACTTGGTACGATTGTTGAAGTTATAGGTGTCATATGGAACCAGCACAAGGTGCAAGTTTTGCAGAAGCTTTTTAATGGTATGTTGCACAACATAAGCTGTGGTTGGTCTACTAATGCCTACAGGGGAAATTAGCTACAGGGAATAATAGCTACAAAGTTTGTTGTGAGGGAATAATAGCTACAAAGTTTGTTGTGACAGCGATACGCTTACCTGCACACAAGTGGACTGTACCGGTTAATGTGCACTAATGCCTTCAATGGGATTAGGGGAGTAGAGGGCAAAGAGCAATTAGCAGAGGCTATGCTTTATCTCACACGGTTGAAGGACAGAAAAACATATTGAGGGATAAAACAAAGTGAGAAGGAAATGTTTAATTTATTGGGGGAGATTTTTGTTACTGAGAAGCAAATGTATTGCTCTGAGACGAAAGACGATGCCCCAACTTTCCCAGACGCTCAGCGAGGTGAATCTACCAGACTGCTTCACGGAAACTTCTGATGGACTGCCCTTCCTTTGCATAGACGACGAAGACGACGACAAGATCATCTGCTTCGCCACAAGTGACCGTCTGCCGGACCCTCCTACAAGAAGTCGACACCCTCTACATGGACGGCACGTTCTACTCCTGTCCACATCTCTGGGATCAACTGTACGTCATCCATGGACTTGTCTGCTACGTCTCCTGAGCGACAAGGTACAACAGACAACAGGATCCCCATCAGCCTGATGTCACCCAGTCATCCATGGACTAGTCCGGAGGAAAGATGACTCAGATGGTCTTCTGTCTGCTGCCCAACCGCCAATGCCGCACCTATGAACGTCTGCCACGTCTCCTGAGCGACAAGGTACAACAGACAACAGGATCCCCCCTTCAGCCTGATGTCACCCAGATTGATTTCGAAATCGCCGCCATCAACGCTGTTGCTGTTGAGACCGTCTTCCCCAACTGTGACATCCGTGGCTGCTACTTCCACTACACACAGGCTCTCTGGAGGAAGGTTCAGACTCTCGTCTTCAGTAAAGCCTACCAGCAGGATCCTGAAGTCAACAGTTGGGTGAGAAGAACAGCAGCACTCCTTCCCCTCCTTCCAGTGGTTATCATTCAGGACCCGAGGCCCGAGGACGAACAATCATCTCGAGGGTTGGCATTCCCACCTCAACAAGACTGTCCAGAAAACTCACCCTAACATTTTCGCTTTGGTGAAAGTGCTTCAGAAGTTGGAGAAAACTGAGAGGAACAACTTGGTGCAGATGTCGTATGACGCCCGTCCCCCACCCAGTAAGAGGATCTACACAGAGATCGACCAGAGACTCACAAGACTGAAGGACCAACTGACAACTGGAATCACGACGCCCATGGAGTTCCTCTCAGCTGCTGCACATTTGATTAAGTTGAATGTCATCTCAATTAATAATTCAATAATATGATTTATAATGTAATGTAATCTCAATTAATGATTCAGTAATGTGTAATGTAATGTGATGTAATTTTGTGTGAAGAAATGAAAATGATGATATGATTAAATCTGATAAAATGTCATTTAAAGGTCTGTGTTTGTATTCTCTGTAGGCATTAATGCACAATGAAGTGGGACCTACCACTTTAGTGAAAGGGTAGAGGAAGTACAATTTGTAACCACTGGTGCGTAAAATTGTGTATTTAAGACTGTAGGCGTTATTCCCTGTAGGCATTAGTAGACTCCTAATGACAAGAAAGCCCAAAATAATTTAATGTAAAGCCTTTTTATCTGTAGATTTAAACAAATTAAGTTCAATATCAAAGTTAACAACACATGACTATGATTTCAAAAGTACTTTCGAAATAATTTTTATTTATGTGATGGTGCGTCAACTGTTTCAACCAGAGATGAAAATTGTGATTTGGAATCTCTTATGACATGAGTATTTCTTCGATTCATGGGCAAGCATCAGCCCAGATCCGAAGGTTTCGAGTTTATAAGTCCTGGTGTTCTATTTATAGGAGTAACACTGACAGAGCTGCTTAAAATACGTCACCGACTTGACCACGATGAGGTGTATCTGTTGACCTACAAGATGTTGTGCTTCTTGAAAGACTTACACAGCAGGAATATTCTTCATCGAAACATCGACCGTATGTATCATGCCTCTAATGTCCGTTCAGACAATACATTGGGGGATTCAGAAAGGTTTGGTAGTTTCTGTTTAAGCTTTAAATATGTTTTCAAGCGTTTATTGGAAGTTCATGGCTATAGGACAAACTTCACCTGGGAACATGGGATTTGCTTGAAGATGTACTAAAAATGTTCTTTTGTCTATTTGTGATTGTTTTGTAAAAAAAGCAATGTACACAGTGTGCTTGAACAGGAAATTCATAATACTGAATGCTAGATCCAGAATACAATACCGTGTTTCTACCACGATGTTGATGTACTCAGTAAGGGAGGTAACTTTGTTGGAGGAAAAATATAGAGTGAAACAAAATGTGGAACCAGTGAATGGATATTATATTTATTTTTCTATATGTGTCTGTTAATATAATATTTTGAAAAAAAATATGGATTCTGTTTAGTTCAGTAAGTCACAAGTGAAGGGTATATGGGAAGATATGTAAAAATCAATCACTGAAAAGAATAATGTTTGACAACATTTAAGCAAAACACTAACACTCATCGCCTTCATGTTTTGTATTGTTCATGTTTATTGACAATATTGATTGTTTTTGTCACAGCTGATCACATCATGATATCGAGAACAGACCAGCGGATCTGTGTAGTTGGATGTAGTGCTCTGTGCAATATTGACGATTGCACATCAGAGTTTTCCGACTCCTTACTCCTCACCAGAGGTTACACGCAGGCGAAGGTTTGCTTAACATGTAATGCTGTGGTGGGCAGAAGGTATCACAGAATGTTCTGAGAACCTGAAAGATTTATAGCAATGAAAAAAATAAAATGTAATTGGATATTTACTCTCATGTTCAGTAGTCCTGGTAATATGATTTAATTCCAGCAGTATGTCAAATTAATCAAATGCATGATTATTTCTGAAATGGATGAATCCATTCATCCATTTATTATTCCATCAACCCTCCATCCATCCGTCTATCCATTCATCCACCCGACCGTCCGTCCGTCCATCCATCCATCCGTCCATGCATGAACAATTCTGAAATGGATGAATCCATTCATCCATCCATCCATCCGTTTTCAGATCATGGATACAAGAGTGATGTCTTCAGCCTAGGTTGTACTATGCTCAGTGCTCTGTCCGGGAAAATACCATATTTTGGAACAGACAGGCAACAGATAACCTTAAACGAATTCTACATAAGGTGTGTTTGGTTGCATCATCAGATTTGTGTTTAATAAATGAGTAGCGCCATATATCAACAGAAACAGGTAACTGTGCCTCCCCACAGTTCAATAAATATATACTAGTATTTATTCAGGAATGATGTAAGGCATCTCTTAATACTAATGGATGACAAGATATCCATGACTTTAAGGTTATCATTTACAAGTTGCATGATTCTTACATACATGGTTTTGAATTTGATTAGCACGTTTGTGATTGTTTAGCAGTCAGCAGCTCATAAATATTTTGCCCTTTTCTGTAAATGCAACACACTTTTTTTAGATGCGCTGGCCACAGCCAAGATGCAAAACAAATTTGGCTGTCATGTTGATGTCAAACACATCATCTCTTTAGAGATGTTATGTATGGCAGTGTGACACTCACGACTTCTCATGGGATGGTCATCGACACTTCAACAGGACAACCATATTCGGTTAGTGCATCTACAGAATTGAAACCAAACTGTGACAGATGCATATGGAACAGGTTGGGTGAGCACAACTTCTGAACCCAACATACAGTGATTTTGCTTCCAAATTACAGCAATTTACTTTTAGTGTCAGTAAGTTGCTGAAGCAGAACGTTTTTTTCAAGCATTTTCTTGGACTTTTGGATTAAATACCCTTTCCCATTCCTCCACCTGCCTCCTAGATTGTTTCAAATAGGAGGGACACAGGTACACTGGCGCCATACTGATCTCATACTACCAGTTTCTTTCTTAGAGCATAATACTTGCAACACATGCGCAGTGTCTATCTGCACCATATGATTTCCTTTTTAGATCGCCATTGGTGAGTTCCCAGTGGACATCATCATCCGTGACATGGACACTCAAACATTAATGTGCCAAATAATATCAGACATGACCAAGTCTTCCCAGGAGAGATTTTCCGTGAATGAGATTCTTGAGAAATATTACAGTCATGAAGGTAGTTTCTCATTTTTCCAATCTTGAGACAATGGACCATGCTAGAACTTTTTATTGTAGTTTCTCCTTTTTAGAATTTCAAGTTTCCTTAAACAAATTCTTCAAAGTTTCATCACATTTTTCATTTTGTCCTTGCAGCTCGGACATTTACTCGTTTTTTTCCCCATTTTCCTTGAATTTAGAGTTTTCTATTGCTGCTCCAATTTTGTATCTCTGATAATTTCAATTAGTCACTCAGGTCAATTTTAAACATTGAAACATTCAGAAGGTATTATTAATTATGAGGACATGAATCTAAATACCTAGAAGCATATTGAAATATTTACAAACAATAAGAAATTTCTGTTAAAAGATGTTTGTGCTACCAAAAGGCACCATTAGGCTTTTGTAAGACATAGCGTTTTCTTCAGCATATTCTATTTTCACAGAACCTGCATGGGAAAACTGTTACTACCAACCACTCGGTACAGCAGCCCCTGTTGATCAGTATAGAACCCCACCGGAACCAAATGTACCAATTCCACCCCTGTCTGATCAGAGGGAGTACAGGGAACATCCCTAGTGCCATTATCTTGGAATCGTCTTCGGACAATGAAGAAGAGGGTGGAGAAGAGAGAGGAGTGGGCGAAGTAGAGGAGAGAGGAGAAGCGATGTAGAAGGCGAAAAGAGAAGAGCTGCCCAGTAAACCTCCCTCGGATCATTTCTCCGACAGTGGGAGACAGACTATATCAGAAATCATGTTAGGCCCTTACTCGGGGTTGGGCCGGTATGGTATTTTGACAGTTCCCTTGTCCTAAGATTGTGATAGAGGTTAGGGACTCACTACATGGCCCAGGGATTGTATCTCAAAACATAATTGTCTCAGAAAATGCCTGCAAAAATAACTGCCAACTCTTGAACATTTCAGCAAAAATAGATTATTGCAAGCTGTGTTTTTAACAAAGATATGTTAAGTTGATATCAGATTAATTAAAACAAGAAGACAAAGTCATCAATATCCCCATAATGGCAAAATACTCTTCATGATTATGTCTCACGAGTTATGATTATGTCAAATATTGAGGTATGTATATAGAAAAGTGGAAGGAGAGTATTGAAAGGTTTTAAAGTTGTTCCAGAAAGGAGCACTATCACCAATTTCAGTCCAAGTCAAACTTGTTGCTAAGGAAATGCCAAAAATATTTTATTCAGAAATCCAAAACTACCAAAAGGCACCACCAGATCTATGTATATGTGCCAATTAGTTTGGTGAAGAAACATTGAACGGTTTTAGAGTTCTGCTCCGAGAAAAGAGCACTACCACTCATTTCAGTTGGTTACCATTACTATATTTCTACATGTTTAAAACGTCCACCCACCTTAAAGAAAGACCCATGTACTATTTTGTCTTAAACCATCAAAAACCTCTGTAATATTGGGTCATGACTTCACACCCCTAAAACCCATGTAATATTACCTGATGACTTCTCATCCCCACCCTAAAACCCATGTAATATTATCTAATGACTTCTCATCCCCACCCCCTAAAGCCCATGTAATGTTATATGACTTCTCATCCCCACCCCTAAACCCATGTAACATTATATAATGACTTCTCATCCCCACCCTCTAAAACCCATGTAATATTATATGATGACTTCTCATCCCAAACCTCTAAAACCCATGTATATTATATGATTTCCCATCCCCATCCCCACCCCTAAAACTCCACGTAACATTATATAATGACTTCTCATCCCCAACTCTATGATTACTTCCTAACACCCATGTAACACTATTGTTGTTATTGCTGACACATCTACATTATGAGTCACGTTTATACAGAGACAATTTTCCGATATATGTTACAGAGTTCTACACAATTAAAGTGAAGGAGCATGAACGATTTGTTTGTGAGGTGAAATGCCTGCTCGGCTCCTATGGCAGAGATCTTCATATAACCGTGAAACAGAAGGTTAGTAGTAGAGACTGTCTAATTTCATTAAAATGGCCAAGCTAACATGTTTGATTCCAATTTTGAATAAGCAGTGTCAAAGCTACAAGACTACCTTCATATATGGAAAAGAACTTGGTTCCAAATCAAAATAAGGCTCAGTGAGACTATCACAAATTTCATACTACAGCAATGTTTTCTCCTTGTAATATTTGAAACATCTTGTCAAGTTGCAAGAAACTGAATATGACATCCATCTCAAGTGAAATTATGGAAAGATCTGTGTGCTAATAGAGACATAATTAAAATTAGTGATGGAAATTTGATACTGATCAATTGTCCTTTCAGATGAAAGTTGCATGTATCCTCAAATATAGAAAACAGAGTGATTCAGTTTGGATGCAAACTCCAAAACTTGTTTTCCTCTGAATGATGTGACAGTAACCATGGAAAGAATAGTATCAGGCCAAAGACTTGTTCCAAAGTTGAGGGACATAAGGAGTTCAGACAATTCTGATGAAGGTGGCTTTGAGTTAGATCAAACTGGTGAAACTGAGACTTGCACTTCCACAGGCTCAGATGCACAAGATGATATGTCCTCTCTCACAACCATGGCTGGGGATGTCCAAATGTTCACCAAGAGGCCTTGGCGGCAGAACAAGGTCAAGTTGACAAAGAACTTCTGGCGCGAGTAGAACAGTTTCAAGATAATGGAGAACATCTGGTGGCAGAGCCAGGTCAAGATGATGGAGAACCTCTGGTGGCAGAACCAGGTCAAGATGATGGAGAACCTCCGGTGGCAGAACCAGGTCAAGATGATGGATGGGAGAACCTCTGGTGGTAAAACCAAAAGGTCAAGATGACAGAGAACTTCTGGGTGGTAAAACGAGGTCAAGATGATGGAGAACATCTGGTGGCAGAACCAGGTCAAGAGTTAATGAAAAGAACCTCCGGTGGCAGAGCCAGGTCAAGATGATGGAGAACCTCTGGTGGCAGAAGGAGGTCAAGATGATGGAGAACCAACACCACAACAGGATCCCTTCTAAGGCAGATGAAAAGAATGACAGAGATGACTCGGGCTGTGTGTGTAATTCAGAAAACATCCAATCTTTCCATCACTGACACTAGTGAACTGGCGAGGATATATGCTCTCCTATGAGTGATGAGTGATAAGAACATCTGAGTGACTATGATGTACTTCAGCTGAAACACTGAGACCTGCCATAATCTGAAGGGAAGTGGGGGTTTTGATTTAAAATATATAGCACAATCTTTTAAAAACAAAATTAAAAGAGAAAAAATGTCCTATTTGTTTACTGTTGGATGATAAAAGGAAAACTGTTCGGCTCCTTAAATGTGTTGAAAAATGCATGAGCAAAACAAGAGCATACTGTCTAAAAAGCTTGTCATTCGGTATTTGTTATTACCAGTTTCATACATGCCTTATCAGTACCAAACTCTATATCCTCAATTTACATCTTTTTACCTCACTGTTTTAGGTCATCTATTCTTCAATGTCATATCTTACTGCACTAACACCAGAGGACATCCCATTACAGGTCATGTCAGATCTTACTGAACTGAGACCTGAGAGGGTACATCCCATTACAGGTCATGTCGATCTTACTGCACACTGAGACCTGAAACATCCATGACAGGTCATGTCAGATCTTACTGCACTAAGACCTGAGCACATCCATGACAGGTCATGTCAGATCTTACTGCACTTAGACCTGAGCACATCCATTACAGGTCATGTCAGATCTTACTGCACTGAGACCTGAGAACATCCATGACAGGTCAAGTCAGATCTTACTGCACTGAGACCTGAGAAGATCCATGACAGGTCATGTCAGATCTTACTGCACTGAGACCTGAGAAGATCCATGACAGGTCATGTCAGATCTTACTGCACTGAGACCAGAGAAGATCCATGACAGGTCATGTCAGATCTTACTGCACTAAGACCAGAGGACATCCCATTACAGGTCATGTCAGATCTTACTGCACTACGACCTATCATACCATCACTTTGGAGTTCAAGTGCCACAAGGTCTAAATGTTGCCGTGACATGAATCTCACCAATAATTCTGAAAGACAGTAGTTGGTGAGGATGTCTGAATAGAACTGCATGGTGTAACGCAATATGCCTTTCAAACGATACTAACTGCTTTTTTGCAGAACCGGTATATTGGGTGGTGTAATGGTTAATTTTGTAATTATCTCTATGGTTCAAGTTTAAATCTACACAGACCTTAATTCATACTGAAGTCTTCCATTGTAATTAAACTCCCTTTAAAAGACAGAATGTCCATGCATCTCATCACAAAGGTTACTACTTGTGGCAAGGTTTGAATCAAACATGGTGCTGGTGTGATTCATCAAACTTTTTTTCGCTGTTTTGACATTGTTTCATTTCACTCAAACTCAACAAATATGGAATCAGTTGCTACACAGGGTGTTCAGATGTGTCGTATAAAGTGCCCAGTAAACACACAGAAAGTTGCATTTACCAATGACCTTGCCACGATTCAGTTGCTATATGGCTATCAAATTTAGGGCGTTACCATACTTTTTGTTTGTAGTATATGTCAGTGTACACCTCATGTTAATAGGACAATGTGCTTCACAAATGTATACCCATGTGGGATTCAACCCGACGGTCTTCGGTAGCCGTGATGACGGCTTTAACCACTAGGCTACCCACAGCGCCCCCCCTCATGTTAATAGCACAATGTGACACTACAGGTCACCTATGTTAATGACACAATGTGACACTACAGGTCACCTCATGTTAATAGCACAATGTGACACTACAAGTCACCTCATGTTAATGACACAATGTGACACTACAGGTCACCTCATGTTAATGACACAATGTGACACTACAGGTCACCTCATGTTAATGACACAATGTGACACTACAAGTCACCTCATGTTAATGACACAATGTGACACTACAAGTCACCTCATGTTAATGACACAATCTGACACAAGTCACTTCATGTTAATGACACAATGTGACACTACAGGTCACCTCATGTTAATGACACAATGTGACACTGCAGGTCACCTCATGTTAATGACACAATGTGACACTACAAGTCACCTCATGTTAATGACACAATGTGACACTACAGGTCACCTCATGTTAATGACACAATGTGACACTACAGGTCACCTCATGTTAATGACACAATGTGACACTGGGTCACCTCGTACACAATGTGACACTAGATCACCTCATGTTAATGACACAATGTGACACTACAGGTCACCTCATGTTAATGACACAATGTGACACTACAGGTCACCTCATGTTAATGACACAATGTGACACTACAAGTCACCTCATGTTAATGACACAATGTGACACTACAGGTCACCTCGTTAATGACACAATCTGGTCTACAAGGTCACCTATGTTAATAGCACAATGTGAAACTACAGGTCACCTCAAGTTAATGACACAATGTGACACTACAGGTCACCTCATGTTAATGACACAATCTGACACTACAGGTCACCTCATGTTAATGACACAATCTGACACTACAAGTCACCTCATGTTAATGGCACAATGTGACACTACAAGTCACCTCATGTTAATGACACAATGTGACACTACAAGTCACCTCATGTTAATGACACAATGTGACACTACAGGTCACCTCATGTTAATGACACAATGTGACACTACAAGTCACCTCATGTTAATGGCACAAACTGACACAAGTCACCTCATGTTAATGACACAATGTGACACTACAGAACACCTCATGTTAATGACACAATGTGACACTGCAGGTCACCTCATGTTAATGACACAATAGGTCACCTCATGTTAATGACACAATGTGACACTACAGGTCACCTCATGTTAATGACACAATGTGACACTACAGGTCACCTCATGTTAATGACACAATGTGACACTACAGGTCACCTCATGTTAATGACACAATGTGACACTACAGGTCACCTCATGTTAATGACACAATCTGACACTACAAGTCACCTCATGTCAATGGCACAATGTGACACTACAAGTCACCTCATGTTAATGACACATTGTGACACTACAAGTCACCTCATGTTAATGACACAATGTGACACTACCAGTCACCTCATGTTAATGACACATGTGACACTACAGGTCACCTCATGTTAGTGAGACAATCCTGACACTACAGGTTCTCATGTTAATGGCACAATGTGACACTACAAGTCACCTCATATTAATGACACAATGTGATTGAATGCTGGTCATGTTGTGAAGACAATGGCCCAATGTGAGAAAATATGTCTTATTGTGTTCATGGAACACTCAAGAGAAAAGAGGTATTATTGTGTTCACGGCACACTGTGAGAAATAGAGGTCTTATTGTGTTCATGCCACACTCTGCGAGAAGAGAGGTCTTGTTGTTTTAATGGCACACTGTGAGAATAGAGGTCTTGTGTTCATTGCACACTGTGAGAATAGAGGTCTTGTGTTCATGGCACACTGTGAGAATAGAGGTCTTATTGTGTTAATGGCACACTGTGAGAAAAGAGGTCTTATTGTGTTCATGGCACACTGTGAGAATAGAGGTCTTATTGTGTTCATGGCACACTGAGAGAATAGAGGTCTTGTTTTAATGGCACACTGTGAGAATAGGAGTCTTGTATTCATGGCACACTCGCGAGAATAGAGTTATTATTGTGTTCATGGCACACTGTAAGAATAGAGGTCTTGTCATGGCACACTGTGAGAAAAGAGGTCTTGTATTCATGGCACACTGTGAGAATAGTGGTCTTGTTTTTAATGGCACACTGCAGAATAGAGGTCTTGTTTTAATGGCACACTGTGAGAATAGAGGTCTTGTATTCATGGCACACTGCAAGAATAGAGGTCTTTTATTCATGGCACACTGTGAGAATAGAGGTCTTGTGTTCATGGCACACTGTGAGAATAGAGGTCTTGTGTTCATGGCACACTGTGAGAATAGAGGTCTTATTGTGTTAATGGCACACTGTGAGAATAGAGGTCTTATTGTGTTAATGGCACACTGTGAGAATAGAGGTCTTATTGTGTTCATGGCACACTGCGAGAATAGAGGTCTTGTTTTAATGGCACACTGCGAGAATAGAGGTCTTGTTTTAATAGCACACTGCGAGAATAGAGGTCTTGTTTTCATGGCACACTGCGAGAATAGAGGTCTTATTGTGTTAATGGCACACTGTGAGAATAGGTCTTGTTTTAATAGCACACTGCGAGAATAGAGGTCTTGTTTTAATGGCACACTGTGAGAATAGGTCTTGTATTCATGGCACACTGTGAGAATAGAGGTCTTGTTTTAATAGCATACTGCGAGAATAGAGGTCTTGTTTTAATAGCACACTGCGAGAATAGGTCTTGTATTCATGGCACACTGCGAGAATAGAGGTCTTGTTTTAATAGCACACTGCGAGAATAGAGGTCTTGTTTTAATAGCACACTGCGAGAATAGGTCTTGTATTCATGGCACACTGTGAGAATAGAGGTATTATTGTGTTAATGGCACACTGTGAGTAGAGGTCTTTTTTGAGTTAATGGCACACTGTGAGAATAGAGGTACTATTGTGTTCATGGCACACTGTGAGAATAGAGGTATCATTGTGTTCATGGCACACTGCGAGAATAGAGGTATTGTGTTCATGGCACACTGTGAGAATAGAGGTCTTGTGTTCATGGCACACTGCGAGAATAGAGGTCTTATTGTGTTAATGGCACACTGTGAGAATAGGTCTTGTTTTCATGGCACACTGTGAGAATAGAGGTCTTGTGTTCATGGCACACTGTGAGAATAGAGTCTTATTGAGTTAATGGCACACTGTGAGAATAGGGTCTTGTATTCATGGCACACTGTGAGAATAGAGGTCTTGTGTTCATGGCACACTGCGAGAATAGAGGTCTTATTGAGTTAATGGCACACTGTGAGAATAGGTCTTGTATTCATGGCACATTGTGAGAGTAGAGGTCTTGTATTCATGGCACACTGTTAGAATAGAGGTCTTGTGTTCATGGCACACTGTGAGAATAGAGGTATTTTTGTGTTCATGGCACACTGCGAGAATAATTACCTTTATAGGGGTTTAGGCAGTATCCTTCAACAATATGGTTTGAAATTTATTAAGTATTTTTCACTGTTTATTCACAGGTTTGTCCGTGTTTTGTTCCAGTTGTTTTACATTTCATGAAAACCTGTTATTGTTTTGTTGTAGGTTTAGGTTCTCTGCTGCAGGGCAGCATTTATTGTGCCCTAGCTGCACAACACCATGTACTTCAGCTCTACAAAACGGCACTTTGTCAGCATTTAACCAATATTGAATTTAATAAATATATTTTCTCTGTACTTAAGTGCTAAAGACAAATC